TAATGACCTCCATCAGGCCAGGAGACCGGGATTCGAACCCGTGGTCGCAGCAGTGAAAGTCCTGCACGCTAACCACTAGGCCACCAGGGGTCTCGGCAACAGGTTAGCAAAGGCATATAGCGCCTTCAGAAAGCTTCATAAAAGAGTTTGGGGAAATAAACACTTGAAGAAAAGTACAAAGATCAGTGTTTACAGAGCCATTGTGCTATCTACTCTTTTATATGGATCTGAATCATGGGTCATCTACCGCCACCACCTGCGACTCCTAGAACACTTCCATCAACGCTGTCTCTACAATTCTAAACATCCACTGGTCAGATTATGTGACTAACACGTCTGTTCTAGAACAAGCAGCAATCACAAGTGTTGAGGCCATGTTGCTGGGAACACAGCTGTTGGCAGCACACATCTCAAGGATGAAGGACTACCACCTCCCTAAGATCCTGCTTTATGGTGAACTTGCCACCGGCTGCCGCAAGAGAGGAGCCCCGAAGAAAAGATACAAGGACTCCCTGAAACAACATCTCAGCCTTGTCCATATTGATCACCATAACTGGTCTACTCTGGCCTCCAATCGGAAGGTCTGGAGACACACTATCTTTAACGCTGCTGCTGCTTTTGAGAAAGCATGCAGGATCACTCTTGAGGAGAAAAGACAACGCAGAAAGAATCGTGTTTTGCAGAATATACCACCTAAGGAGTCCTGCTGTGCCTTTTGCAATCGGACGTGTCTATCTCGTATTGGCCTCTTTAGCCACCAGCGTGCTTGTGACAAACATGGGTAGAGCCCTCCCCAAATCTTCGTTCTTGAAGCCTAGTCATGATGATAATGAGTTTGGTTACTTTCCCTAAATTTTATGCAAATCTTCACCACTGTCATGGTGACTGTCCAGACTTTTATTAGCTCAGTAAAAGACAGCACATCTCCCTCAAAACCTTGACACAACAGGAAGGGCTGGTGAATAAAAACAAGCAGAGATTCTTATCTGTGCTGTTACAGCTGCTGCCTGTGTGTGTTGTTGCTGGGGTTCATTCTTTCATCATTATTGAACCAAAACTGGTAAAACAAAACAAAAATTACAGAGGTATTCCCCTCCCCCTATGCCAAGTTGTGTGTGTGTGTCTGAAAACTTCTTTTCTCTCACATTAGAACAAATTGTAACAAACCTTTTAAATTGACCTTTTTGAAATTCCTGTGTTTTTCAAACCACCACATGCACATATGCAGCATTATTAAGAAAATGTAAGCAAGACAATATGAACATTGCTTTGCAGAGTCAGGTCCGTTCCCTGAAAAAAAATCAGTGTATAGCTGTGCACTTAACTGGCATGTCCAGTTACTGAGACTGAACTACATGCATTTGGATGGAGTTTCTTGATGGTTGGTTGCGGGGTTTTTTGTCTTTCAACATGCAGACCTAATCTCTAATCAGATTTATATTTGGCCTCAAGATCCAAGATTTTTGTAATCAACTTAATTAAGTGGTTTTGTCAACATCCACAGTTCTGCAGAGTTATGGTCTGCATCAGTTTTCCATTCCTTTTTCCATGCAGTATTTCTGAAAAAGGCTTTGATTTTGACTTTGAAATGAACCTCCTAATGAATGCAATGTTCAGAGAGTGCTGTTCAGTAGCCACTTCAGTACACAATATAAAAGATGATAAAACAAATTGAGGGTTAGCCCCTTATTGAAGATAAATATGGTTAGTCCTTAACCAGTAGAAAAATAAGAAGAAATCAGAAACCTTCCACAACTGACAACTGAAAAACACATCCCAAAATATTAATCTTTAATTGACACATTGTCGAAGGGTTTTCTTTAAAGGGATTATCCTGGGAATGCTACCAATAGCATTAAACAATACTTATTTCTGTTGCATCTGGTTTAGCCCTTTATATACTTATTATACCTGAAAAATTATTTTCTAAGAAATCTTATAACAGCATTTCTACATTATCAATCCATTTTGTTCTCCTCTTTCCTGGATATATTAGCCAGGAAAAGGAATTCCCAGTTTGTAACAAACAGATTAATTCACACATTTTACTTTCTCCACATAGAAAAATACAGTTTCTGGATCATTGAGGCATACAGATTATGAATGTCACAATTAAGAGTAAAAGTACATTCTCCAGAGAACAGCAAGATAAAAAGTGTATTTTTGATTTTTCTTATGGATTTTCGAGCGTATTTCTGTTAGGGTTTTTTGTAATTATTTTATTTTTACAAGACTGTACTTGCCATTTAGCAATTTACACATAATGTGACTGGTCTTCCCTCCTGTGCGAGTTCGCAGTCATGTTTTCAGGCTATAACACTCAACACTGTTTTCTGGTATACATATTCCCATAGTTTCATCAAAAGTAGATACAATGCACAATACCTGTCTCTGGGAAATGTTTCAAACAGACAAACTTTTATCTTAAACCAGAAGTGGAGAGGTTACAGTAGGTATAGCCACCTAAGTATGAACTTTAGGTCACAATTTCTAAATACTCATCTACTGTAAATAAACATTAAAAATACTCTTAGCAATAGGATTTTATTTATATGTGCATGTATGTCCACCTTATCCCATGTTTATGATTGACAACTATTTGGGAATTCAAAGGTGCAGCCCTCAGTAATTGCATTATTTAAAAAAAGAAAAGGAAGCACATCTATTGAGAAAATAAATTATCAAATATCAATTTCCAATTTTAAATTTAATTTCAATAGGAAAATATTAAAAATGTGCACATCTAAATTTTTCCGTGTTCTGTATATACATGTGTGTACGTATACATAGAAATAGTAATGCACCACACATATTCACAAAATTTAAGTGAAATATTTCTGTCCAGTATTTTCCCACATGTAAATGACATGATATCTTTAAAAATTTAAATAATAATATCATTAAAAATAATAAAATTTATTGTGTCAACTTTCTGTAGTTTTATTCTTTCTTCATCTTTATTATGTCCACTGAGAACTAACGGGACAGGTCCTTCTTGCACTTCCATGACTGTTATGCCAACTGAATGTTGCTGACATCATATCAAGGACACATCTGTTTTACAGCAGCACAAATGACAAGAGAATCAAGCCCAAGCATCCCCATGTAAATTAAAAACTGGTTGTATCTGCTCATCTGGACCATCATCTAAAATCCATCAAATGAAAAACATGTAGCTCACCACAAAGTTTTTAACACTGAACCAAGCTCCCCCACCCCTTTAATAAAGTAGTTGAGAAAATACCCTAAAAATATGGACAAAACTTAAACATTGCATACATTACATACAGTATAATATATCATGGGTTAGCATTTGACCTAAACTGTTTTTCTGACTAGTCAGAAGACACCTGATAAATTACTGGTAGAGAAAAAAGCCCCAGTATTTTAGAAATAAGCATGTATTTCTCATATCAATGAAAACTTGTGTGTATTATATGGTATATACACACAGTACACACATAAAAACAAACTTATCTTTTCTAGTTTTAAATAGCAATCTCTAAGTGGAGAAAATTGTGTTGTACAAATTTAATAAGTGACTAAATTTCATGTTAAGCTTTCAAATCAATTTAGGGAGCAAACAAAAGTCAGTGCATCTTTTGACTTTGAAGTCTGACATTCATTCATACATTTTAAAAAAGCCCTCTTCAACATTAAAAGCAATTTATGGCAAGAAAGTACCTTGATGCAAGAAACATGATGCTTGGCTTACCTTTTAAAGTGTTCTTTTTAAAGAAATCTATTATATAAAGAAATGCATGTTTGTCAAAAGTCTGTTCAAATTATATCAAAACAACTTTAAAACTTGCTCACTGAGGATAATTGAATTTGATTTCCTGCTTTTAAACATTTAGTTAACAGTTCAGAATATTGCCTCTTGCAGTTTCAATAAAGATGTGATATAAAGACCCATAAAAGAGTAAACGTCTCCATTTCAATTTGTTATGACAACAAAACTTCTAGAATCAGCAGTCTTGAACAAGTTCAGTGTACAGCTAATCCCTTGCAATAGATCTATGCCCTTAATGCAATCTGTAATAAACAATGCTCCCCATAAGTCATTATTCACAAAATCTGAAATTCATGCGACATGATGAAAAAGTCTCCTGCAGAACAGGTTAACAGTTAATTGAACATAGATAGTCAATACATGTATCATGGCCAGAAAACAAACAACTGGCTACTTCTTGTTATCTGTGCATGTCAAATTTTACATTTAGAATTCTCAAGGGGTTTTTGACTTTTTTTTCCTGGGGGACTCACCTGCCATCATTGGTTGGCTTCATAATATAGTTAAGTGGAAGATAGTATCTCACTGTAATTACATGGAATTAATATGAAAAAGTAAACCTTACATTGGATAATATTGCAGAACACCGGAGTAAGCTCCGTAAAGGAATACTGTATCTTCCAGTGCATACATGTGTGTGTGTGTATAAACAAACAAGAAAAACCCAACAACAGAAAAAAACCCAACAAACCCCAACCAGCCAACCAACCAACTAACCAAAAAACCCCAAAAGGAAGAACTTTATACAAGCAGTTATAGTAATTTTGTTTCAATTAAAGATGCAACTTTCTCTCACTTCAGGCAAGAATAAATTGGTAACAGCAATTAAATACCTTAAATAAATAAGACAGCAGATAACCTATATTGTACCTATCACAAAAAAGAGGTGTGACCTGGTACACTGCTAATTCTTCCATCACTGATAATTAGAAAAGGATTGCATTCAGTTACTGTTAATATCTTTAAAGTTATCTATGGCCAATAATGTACAAGGAGGTAATTTGTAACTCAAGTTTGTTTGTTGCTTTTTTCTTCAACTAGCTATAAACTGAGTTCTAAATTTTACATTGAAATATGACTCAAATTTAAAACAAGCCCTCTCAGAGGAACGTTTTCTAATTTTGTGCAACTTTGATGCAGAGCCCAACAGTCCTATGAAGAGAGACAGTGCATCTTTAAGCTGATTGGCACTGAAATCCCATTTTCTTTAGCTGCATTCTATTATATTGGCCAAGTTATCTCGTAACTCTGATAGTTCAAATATTTTTCCATCAAGAATTTCTAAAAGTGTCTTCAAGTTATTGCGAAAAACTTCTTGCTCATTCTGACTTTTCTCCAGACGTTGCTCTAGATCAGACAGCTGGCCTTCCAGGTCTTTGTTTCGAATTTCTACTTCCTTTAGAGAAAATATATAACAAGTTAATGTGTTGCTTGCAAACAGAAAACAGTATTCATGTGTTATTTTTGTCAACTGGTTTTTGAAAAAATTTGTGACTGTGACCCTTTACAGTTTTACTAAGACAAAACCAGGATCCAAATTGTTATTAGGATTGTATATGTACTATCATTTTCTTCATTTTTTTCAGTAATTCGTCTGAAGGATGGAAACTTTTGGACAGGGATAAAATTTAGTCAGTGAAAAATGGATGTGATGATATTCAAGTAAGTTATCACTTCTATCATTCAGAAATATGCCACCTACTAAAATAAGCTTCTCAAAGGTTTACCTGAGTTCAAGTATTCCCTTATTTAGACTACATGAATTGCTCAAGTACGCAGTCCTCATTAAATGGTCTCATATAGAAGCTCGAAGAATACTGCTTTATAGATGCAGGAGTACTATCTTACTCCTGATGCCTTAAGCCCCTAATGGTTTTCTTTTTTTTCTACCTTATAAGTTTTATAGGTAATAGAAGTAGATTTTAGAAACAGCCCTTTCTCCCTTTTCCCCGTAGCACCCCTTAGTTTATACATTCCTTTCTCCCTCTTACCCCATTCCATACTCCCCATATCAGCCCTATCCCTGTATCCAGTAGAAAATGTTTTGTCTCTTGTCAAGGCAAGCCTGTCTTGTTTGGGGAACGCTTGTATCTTGGCCTAAACCGCAGGACAGAGTCAAAGAACTGGGTGACTCTGCTCTCTGTACCCCAAAGATGATGAAGGTTGATGAAGAGAGGGTCCCAACAAGCACCCCAGACCCAATTCCGGGAGGTGGGCCAGGGGGTGGACCAGAGCAAAAGTCACAGGGTGGACACACTTGGGATTGGTCAGATATTGTTATATATTGTAACATCTCGGACACAGCGGGTGCGCGTCGTATATCATCAATTGCCTTGGCACTAATAAACCCTTTCCTTATCTCACCCTAATTAACTGCTCCTGGATTTTTTCTAAGCACCAGCTGAGCAGGCATCAGTTTGGTGGCCCTCACGGGGAGACCTGGACTGGAACTTCTTCAGATTGGAAACTTTCATCGTGCAGGAATTCCTCATCAAGCCGGCTTTTATCTGAGACAATTCCCGCCCTGGTCTGAGAAGCCCAGCTCCACAGAACCCACGGAAACAAGCACGGAGCATACAGGTGAGATAAGAAAAGGTAAAATAAGGGAAAAGGTACCTGGTTTAGTTAGCAGCTGTGGGAAGTTAGCAGCTGCAGGAAAGTTTTGTGTTCCCGGGAGGTGGGGAACACGGGTTCCTGGAAAGTTAAATTTAAGACTTGGGCCCATACAGCCTCAGAGAGTCGCTTTCCAGGAGGCGGACAGGGTGGTCCGCCCACCCGGGTCAGAGCGGGGTTCAGTCTAGGACTGGTTTGTTTGGAAGGGATGCCTTCCTGTGTGCTCTGACGCCATGGGAGAGCCGGTGTAGGCTCTGGGAGTCGGTGAGACTCGGAATAATAGCTGAGAGGCTACTGAAACAACGTTGTGGCCCCAAGGTAGCAAGTTCGAATCCCGGTGTGTGTTCGTGGATCATTTGTGTTTTACAATCATGGGTTGTGTGTATTCAAAGTTTGAGATCCCTAAAGAATCCCCCTTGGGTTTAGTTTTGAAGCATTGGAAAGTTTTACCTGGCCCAAATACAATCTTAAAAAAGGAAGAACTTTGTAAATTGTCTGTAAGTGCATGGTCCTAATTTGGACAGACGAGAGGGATAGCGTGGCCAGAATGTGGTCCGTTTGAATTGGATACAGTGTTGAAATTAATTTCACTCCTCAATATAGAACAGAAATGGGAGGAGATCAGATATGCGGAACTATTTTTGTTTCTGCTAACATCCCCTGGATTGAGAGAAAGCAGCCCGGAGGGGGTTGGAGCTGCAGGGATAGCGGCACCTGGACCGGCTCCTGCTGAACGGGCAGGAGCGGGGCAGGCACGGCCGTTGGAGGACTCCCGGGTGTGGGCCTGCCTGCACCGGGAGGGATCAGACAAATTAAGGCCCCCGGAGGAGGTGGCTCGGGGCCGGCGGGAGTGAGTCCTGCTGGTGTGGCTGTAAAAACAGAGGGTGTTAGTTTGACTGAAGTAGACACCGCGGTGCAGAGAAGATCGGCTTTTGTTGAAACTGCTTCTAGCGCAGCAGAGCAGAGCGAGAGTTATGTAGGCGCTGCGGGGTTAAGCTCAAAGGTAACATCTAATTTGGTTAAAACAGGAGTGACACCAGGAGAAACTCCTGGCCCCAGTGGGGCAGTTGAAGCGGGGTCTCCCCCGCCGGTTCCAACGAGCGTGCAAGGAGCAGCCTGTGGCTTTGCAGCTGCTGCTGGCAGCCTTGCCGGAGTAGATAGGGTTACCATGGTAACTGCAGAGGTGAGCGCGGGAAGAGCAGATAGCTGTGTCGGTAATGGGATAAGAGCTGTGAAGGCTGAGTGTAGGGGCGTGTCTGAAGTACGAGGGGACGGCAATTAGACCCCCCTGCGTCACCTAGCGGACCGCGGGACCCCGGGAGCCGCTCCCCACCGACCCCCGGCCGTCTGTAAGGACTGTGCCGACACTCCACATCGAGGAAAAACCCCTGAGAGCCGCCACAGACCCAGAGGGAACCTGCTGTCGCCTTTCGCCACTTTTTCGCCGCTTTTTGCCGGATCGCCGCGCCACCGCCGCGCCAAGCCCCGTGCCCGCCGCCGCGCCGAGCCCCGAGCTGAGAGCAGCCCCGCGCCACCATCGGGGCCACCCCTGCACCCCGTGCCGCATCGAGGGACGCCTCGCCACACACCAGACCCCCACGGAGACGTCGGGAGAGAAAAAACGCAGAAAAACAGCTGCCGGACAAAGTGAAACTAACACTGTAGTCGAACAAAGAAACACGTGCACACACCGCCGGATTAAGGTAACAGAGGAGCCCTGTCTCCATGGAAACCTCGCAACACATTGAAACACTTTTACCACACAGCTGCTAGCCGTAACGTTACAAATATACACATAAGAAAACTGGGACACATTCTGAGCCACAGCACACGAGCAAATGAAACAAGTAACCCACACACCCCTCTCCTCGCTACACTGCTAGCAACAGCACAGCCCATAGGCATGCAGCAGGGGGGGGAAACAGCAGTTTGTGAACTGAAGTTAGGATCGGGACCCGAGAACCAAGGGGACGCGAGCAGCTGGGAAGGAACGGGGCCTCCAATGTAAGATCCCAGCCCATGGGACCATTGCAGAAAACCCCGTTACAGCGATGGGGGTGTTAACCCAGTATACTTACCCCCCCTCACTGCGGATGACCGGCAGCCATGTGTATTGGAGTGGGGGCAGCCATCTTGCCCGCCACATGGACCGGACACCGATCCTTCTCTTCCGCCCCCAACCCCGCCCCGCCCCGCCCACAGACACAAGAGGGGAGGTAGCCCCGCCCCCTCACTGCCTCCACCACCCACCACCACCCCCCCACAAGGAACCGGGTTTGCTGGGACCACAGGGGGGGAGGAATGGGGGAATGAGGAGGAGGGAACCGGGAAGGTTTCACCGGGAGGGAGCGAGGAGGCAAACGGGGGAAAATCAGATAACAACATGTGGAAACAATGTAGGGAAAAGGCAATCGGGCGAGTAGCCTAAAGGATATTCAGGCGTGCTCAGATGGGTTTAGCCAACGTCAGCCCCCTCAATTCCAGCCTCTACCATATGAGGCTACAAAGAATTTGAGGCAGTCGGTAAGAGATGCTGGCGTATCCTTAACCAATCCTTTCAAGTATCTGGACACATTGAGTTCCTTCTATTTTTTCACCCCACATAACACAGAACATGCAGACTGGTTATCTGACTTTCGGGAGAATTGTGCCAAACATACTGCTGACACCCAAGCAGGCATAACAACAAACCAATTAACCGGAGAGGGAAGATACAACACAGCAGGTGCCCAATCAAATTACCCCTGAGAAATATACAAAGTAATAGCCAAACAGATGCTGAAAGCCATGAGAAAGCTTCTCACTACAGACCAAAACAGCAATCTGCCCAGCACAAAAGTGTTACAAAGTTGTGCTAAACCTAATCCACAATACTTAAATTGGCTGCAGTCTGCTTTAAACAAGCAAATTGAATACAATGAAGCCAGAGAGATGCTGTGTAAGCAATTGGCTTTTGAAAGGGCGAACACAAGCTGTGAGAAAACTTTGCAGACCTTTCCTGGAAGGGAAGACCACAGCATTGCCAAGCTAGTCCAACCCTACCAAAGATTTGGCTCTGAGGAGCACCGGTCTGTCTCTCTAGCTGCGGCCCTAAATGCCCAGCTAGGAGTACAAGAAGAGACCAGACTTAGGGCAAGTTGTGTCAGATGTGGTAACACTGACCACTTTCAAAGGGATTGCCCCTGGAGACCCCTAGCAGCAACATCCCACAAATACCCTAACAGCAGGGAATGGGCTGAGTTGTACCAAGGGTGCTGTGGGCAAGGCATACACCTTGCCACAAGCATCGCACTGCTTGTTGCCGTGCTGCTTGCCACCCTCTGTGCCACCAGCTTTCATGTGCAAGGGAGGAAGCAGCTTGAAGCAAGCCCCAACGAGGCAACAAACAGCCCAGACAATAACCCTATATTCTGCACCCCCAAGAAAGGTGACAGGTGGAGAATGCTGCAACAGTCAAAAGCAGTAAGTGCAGTCATAAAGCTTACAGGAGCATCGCAGCATGGACTGCCTTCACCCAATATGCTCCCAGCAAGTTGGCCGCTAGTGGTAACTGATTCAAAGAATTGTTTCTTTACCACCTTCCTACACCCTGAGGATGTGCCAAGGCTTGCCTTTCCCATCATGGCCTTGAACAGTGCACGGCCCATGCAAGGCTATTGCTGGGTTGTCCTTCCTCAGGGGATGCAAAATAGCCCGACGAGGTATCAAACAACCACGATACATCATTATACAGATGACATACCAATAAGCACGGCCACAGGAAATGAACTGCCATTTACTCTT